ATGTAACGGGGTAACGAAATGCTACATGCTAATCTACAATGATGATAGACTGCAGAATATCTGGACCATTAGACAAAATTTCTTGTTAATTAGATCATCGTCGTGTCACGACGGTGAATGATTTGGCAATCGATAGAATAAAAAGGGGTTTAACCTCTCGATCGTTCCAACTCGGATCATACTAATTCCAATTTATTAATTTATACCGTACTCGTTAATCGGGGAGTATTAAACAGATAAATTCTACGTAACTAATAACGTAAACACCATTTTAACGCGAGCCTTATTCACTTAGAAGATTAATCTAAAATCGATAACTTTAATATTCACTAGGTTAAAAACTGTAAAAATTAGCGTGACGTTGAATGACGTAACACGACGTTTATGATATTAAATTAGCAATTATACGAAGTGCTCGATAGAACCTCACACCAGAAATAGAAATATATTCTCATCTAAACCTCGAAAGCTTCAACGATTCCGTGGTATGAAGGACCCAGCAACGTTGTAGCAATTATAGCGTATCCTTGTTTTGTCGTACCTCGAACATGGGTCACCAATTTAATTTATACCTGATTTATACCTGAACCTATAAATAATTACATTACAGAAATGTAAACTACAGTTTGCATTTAATATTAATTATCATGGCAACCTCGAATTTTTCAGCAGCCCCCATGCTTGCTACGTTCCGGAATTAAGCTACCCCTTTGACGCTCTTATCTGCGGTCGTATATATATATATACCGCAATAAAAATTTGTATTCTTGCAAATACCAAAGATCCCTTAACTGAGCATCATTATCAATTCTACCTAATCCTTATTATTAATCACCCGGCTACCAAACGACGCATCAACATTCATTTAATCCTTTGCACTCGAGAGGCGCCTCTCAGTCGCCATTTAATTAGATTCTAAAGACGGATGTTAATTAATATACGTAATTATAATTTACAATTACCCAGCTTGCACCCTATTACCCCCTTACCCTATTGAAGCAAAACAATTTTACGTCTTAATTTGCATACGACTTCTTATTTGCCGTTTTAAAAATATCGTCGACTTTATGGCAGAAAGTCTTCGAATTACTATTTTTCTGTAACGAAAAGATCGCCGAGTGCAAAGGGTTAATCCTCCATTCTTTGCGAACCACCGCCTTCCATCCTCGCATCCCCAAAATTCCTTATCGTAAAGATACCCTCTTTAAGCTGTCGTTTTCCATCCCTAGGAAACACGTTCGAAGCGAGATCATTGAATATCCGGTTTCCACGGCTGAACCACCGCCGTTCGAATCGCAGTAAAACGAATCTGCTCGACGGACGCCGCGAAACAATCTCCCACCCCCGTCTCTGATGGCCGTTCTTCCGTTCTCTCCGACGTAATGCCGGTGTCACGGCAATTTACATGTCCGGGGCTTCTTTGGCGAACCGATGCACGCCGCCGGTTACGCGAAATGGCGGCGCGACCCTCGGGGGAAAATGTCGAAACTGAGAAAGTTCGCTCGTAAAAGGGTCGAGTGCTCTTGGCTGAAGCGTGGCGGGGCGATGGCGAGGTCGCGCAAACGGAGCACGAATCGAAATTCGCCAGGAACCTTGGGGTAAGACAAAAAGGAAGGGACGAGCGATTAGTCGGAGATTGGGAAAGTCTTCGTCGTCCCACCGGCTGAAACTTCTTTTTTCCAACCCCCTATTAGCATGATTCCCGTATCTAGTATCTACACTCTAAAATCTTCGAGTATTCGAGTAGTTCGACGTGAGAACCGAATGGCCAAGTGACTCGAAGTAAATAAAATGTTGAAAATGATCTAAAGAGAATTGCAAATACAGTGGCCTCTCGCTAATGTTCATTCATTGGGACTCCGCGAACATTATCGAGAGAGGTACTACTCAGCTGCTATGTCCGATCATCTCTATTGCATTACCGTTGAAAGTGAAAGTGACTGAGAGTGAATGAAATTGAGAGAAATTTTCATCGTCTGTTCATAACCCGGAACATGGACTCTCGCTTCGTCAAAGTGCCAAGAAATTCATGAAGAATCGACCAAGATGATTCTAGGATGATTATCGAGGGATCACTGTGAGTCGAACGATCGGAGATAACTTGAACACAATGCATGCTTTCCCAATTTTCTTCGCTCTCCTCGTTTCCTTGGTCATATGTTCCTCCATGCGTTCACCAGGGTACCTCGCATCGCCCAGTTCCTTTATTCGTTCAGGTTTCTCTGCATCCTGTTGCGTGGCAGTCGATCGAATGTCAGTAGGACGTTCTTTAGAGGCGTAAAAAAAGGCTCGAAAGGATCCAGTTCATTGGCTAATAGAGAACGTAAAAAGAGCATGGCTCGAGTTTCTTGAACGGTCACCCTATCCGGGAGCCTGGTCTGTTAGGTATTTTAGATTGTGTTCGATACAATGAGAGAGAAAGAGAGAGAGAGGACGGGGTGCTTCGAATCTGAGCAGGGTTATAATCGACTTAAGGAATCCTGCGACTGCTTCACTTTTTCAGTATCGACTTGGAGGAAATCTAAAAATGAGTCGTGATTGTCCGACTTGCTCGTGAAACTGAATTTGCGGAACGATGCTCTCGATATAGAATAACGTGCTTCCTAATAGACTTTCTCAACCTTTTCTTCGTTACTTCTGAGGCAGACTGAACTTTACAGACAAAGAGAGGATATTAGACATAGGTAAAATTTTGAATTTAGATATCGTGTATTATGATTCCTGGGGTACCTTGGGGTCCTAACTTCTCTGAGCGTTAGCAAATCTATAAATTGAATAAATGATTCCGGATGTACAGGAGGTAGAATATATTTCTACGTTTGGATTTCAGTGATTTTTTGATGAATTAATTGTGCATTAATATTGCGAAACATGAACTATGTATAGAGACTAATGTACGGTAGCCTTAATATGGAAGCTTGGCTTTTCTATTGGCTAGCGTTCTGTCCTTTTGCAATGAAGTCATAGTAACGATAATACGTTCAATCTTCTTGTAACATAGTCTTATGAATAGCACGGTTTCGATATAACACAAAATGTCATGTCCTATGTCAAGTTCCGATAATTAACACGGTTTTAATATCACAAAGCACGAATTAATCGTGTTACAAGAGAGTTGAGTCACATAGTAATTTAGGAATGATAATTTTACTCGACTGAAATTTGTTTATGTCAGCATTCTTATCGATCATGAAACGATGGAGCAAATTATGAATACACGCGTGAATGCGCGAGGCCCATCGTTGCTGGTACCCTTCTAGAATTTCGCACATGCTAATTCCTAATTTCCCGGAAATTGCAAATTTTTCCGATCTTCGAATTACCTCGTCCATTACGAATCCAAATCTGCAACCAACGTTGCCTAGCTAACTATCGAGCTACCCCTATTTCAGCCTCGCAAAACCTCCTCCTTTTCCCATCTTTATTACGCTAAAAGCAAACTCGCCGATATTTTCGAACGTGTAGCGTCGTGATTGGTTCTGCAACAAACATTTCGTTCGTACAAATTCACGAGCACCAATCTGCTATATTACTTTCTCGAGACCATCAATCGACGCGCGAAAAAATTGTTACAGAAATCCAACAAAGACTCCCGATGCAGTGGCTCGCGAAAAAAAAAAGCTAATACATCTTCCGTTATAGGTGTGCTTTTTGAAAAAGGGACACGAGAGAGAGAGAGAGAGAGAGAGGGGGGGGTGAGAGCGGAAAAAGAGGAGAATCGGTGACATTGTTATACCTGGCACACAGTGCCGGTGACAAAGCTGGGCTGCCTTCGAAAATTTTCATTTCGCACCATTGCGCACAGGAGAGAACATCCGCGATTCTGGGTCACTCCCCCTCGTCGCATAATCCCTCTAGCAGCGACGAAAGCCTGGCCGTGTGAAACGTGGCTAATCGCGAGATCGGCTCAACCCTTTCGTCTCGGTGAAAACCTCCTGGCCACCTGCCCAGGATTACGCGTAGGCATTGTTCGTCGTCGAGTTTCCAAGAAGAAGACCTGGCCCAGGTTGGCTGATCCGAACCGCAGCGTTATTTTTACGCCGATCGAACTGCGCTCTTACGTGCTTTAATAGCAATCTTCCTGGGCTATCGTGATCCGAGTGTCATGATCGAGAGGTTTGGGAAGGACTGGAGGGTGGAAGCGGAAGTTTGGATAAGGGAGACGGGGTAGTTTATTATTTTTTAGAGGGAAGCAGCTGGGTGTGACTGGATTTCGGTTAGATTTGGTGTGATAATTGTTTGATAGGGATGGATTCTTAGAATGTGAATTTTCTCTTCATTTTGAATAATTTCTTTTAAACATTCTCTCGAAATACGAATGTTGAAAATTGTTCTTATCTTTTGATAACCTCAAAGTGGCTTCATCTTGGAATATCAGCGGATATTACAATATCTCGTAAATCTGATAAAATTTCTCCATTATTAAACCACTGATTCCATAAACGAGGATTTCACTCGCATAAATAAAAATCTATTAATCCATAGAAATCCGTTAAAAAATACAACACTCAAGATCCATAAAAGTCGGACAATCTCTATTATAAATAAAAATCTATTAATCCATAGAAATCCGTTAAAAAATACAACACTCAAGATCCATAAAAATCTCTACATTTCAGGCCAATTTCGCTCGCATAACAAACCGCAGCTAAAGTCTGCAAAATCCGAAGGAATTCACAGAAAATGCAAAACCAACAAACCCCTAGAAAATCGGATAATCTTCTTATTACCGAGTCATTGATACATTCCACAGATGGCAATCCACGAAATCCAAAATGTTTCATAAAAGGAAATACTAAACAACACTAAAGAAATATTGCAAAATTCAACAACATCGCTATCACGAAGACAAACGCGTGGCAGATAAATATCCAATGAAATGCACAAAATCCAAAAACCTTATGAAAAGGAACAGAGTGAGAAATTCTCGCGAAATACCCGGCAAACTGTCCGTTAACGATCAGCTCAATTAACGTATATCCTTTCCTTGCTCGTTACAGGGTGTTTGTTGGACAATTCGGCGCCGCGGGGCCCGCCCGATGTGCCACCCCGTAATCCTACAATGAGTCGCGTCAACGGAAGATTGCCAGGAAGTCACGCAGCCAGCGATCACGAGCGTGATCCCGACCTCCAGCCGGCCTGCCTCGTACGCAACTCATCCGGTGGCTTCTACAGTATGCCAAGTGAGTGTTCGGGGGTTGTTCGTTGGGCTCTGATTTACCAGACCGGAAAAAGGGTCACGAAGACGCGAGAAAAGGGGTTTCACCTCCTCGAGACATCGTGTACCTCTGCTCGATCAGCTTCGTCACTGGTCGATAACTGTTTGAGCTAATTAAGGAATCGCTGGCTCGTGCAACACTGAGCTACTTCCGTTGGCGAAAATCGAAAGCGATATCTACGATTACTCGAGTAATTCGGTCGAAAGATACTACAAAATGAGTTTTCGTGAAGGAGAATTCACGGTAACGATTTTTCTTCCTCCTGCTGATTGTTTTGAAGTCCGTTTGCGCAAATTAATTGCTACCTGGGCTAATTAAACTGTTTTTGATAATAGAAATTAGGGAAGACGTCTGGGATTATTCCGATATTTCGATAGCTTTTGGAAAATTAGGTTTCCGGAGTGAATTTGTAGAAATATAACTGGGAACAAATGCTACTCGAATTATCGATTCGTACAAACTAGTTGCTTCTCTGGAAACTCTTCTTCTCCGAATAGAAAATTCCTAGATATACAAGGAACCCTTCTTGAACAAATTTCTAGATATCCAAGGTATACTCTGATATACCAACGTTTAAATATCTTTACAAACACGATCTCGATGAAACGGACCCGCTGCCACGACCTATCCTTCTTTAAACACCAAAACGCAAAAGCTAGAACAGTTTGCCCGGCGCAAAGTTGAGAGTCTCGTATCTCGAACGGAATCCTTATCCTGTCTCCTCTTAGACGGTCAATCTTGCACTCTGGATATTTGTTTCTCAAACACTTTTAACCGATAGCGTCCTGGGAAAACTCTCGGGGATCCTGGAAAAATGTCGACCGGTGTAAAGTTCGCGTCCGTTTATCCGACGATCGATTATTTACCAGCACGCCAACATCAAATGCAAACATTCCCCGGAATATCAGTGGACAAGCGATGACTTTTGACATCTCACGACTTTTGACGAGCGAAAACGAAAGAAAAACCGCGATTCCTGGAAGGACAGAGAGTCATCACTGCGTTTGGACGAGGTATGCCTTCAGATAGCGCGGACAGTGTTTCATCAAGGACCGTAATAAGAAGGCTTAGCCAAGAAGGGGGAAAGTGACGTTTCTGACGAGGGTAGTACATACAGTAATCAGTGGTAACCTATGGTAGGCGGGGGTGAGATAATTTCCCAGGTCTCCTTCTGGCGAGCTATCTTATCGAGCAGGACTCTGGAGTATTTTCAGAAAATTCTACGTTACCTGAAAAGTTCCAACGCCTTCGTTAAGGATTTCCCTCCATTATTTATCGAAATATCCAGCATGAAAGACTCTTACTTTATCTTAAAGGAACAGGTAGGCGCACTGTTCCCTAGGGATGGACACTGTGAGCACTGTGAGCCCGATAATGGATTTTGTAGAAGTTGTACTACGTCGAACGCTGGAAAAATTAACTTCCTGACCTTTTTATGCCGGCTATAGAGGAACTTGGGAGACGTAGAACACGCGAACACTCTTTTCAGTGTATTACGTGCACAAAGGCTCATAACCGTCCAATATTTCTGCACGGAAAAATTATGTGTTTACGAATAAGGGTACCAAGGTTCGATTACTCGACCAGTTCTTGTTCTATAAAATTTCAAAAGATCCTTCTTAAATCAAGACGTGAACCTAGGCTGTCAAGATGTAAACCTAGGTATTTTATTGTCGACTGGGCTGGGATTGTTATATCGTTGAGACTTAAGAATAGATATGTGTAAAGTACCTGTACGTTTAATGTTAAGTCACCGTTGGTACGTAGCGAGGGTGAGGCGTTGGGTGACTATGATGATGATGATGTTCCTTTCAGCGCAGGATGAAAATAATCAGCGACTCTTCTACGCTATTTCAAGGGCTGAAGTATCCCTCCTCCAGTCCTTCGTAAACATTATCAGTGGCTAAATTTCGAGAACCGTTCGAGCCTTCTGTGACCTTGGAAAGAAGAAAGAGATTGCTTGTTCCTAGCATCGACCAGTACCGAAAATTTCCCAGCTTATTATACCACATACCGGCCATTCTCCCTAGCAATATAACCCTCCATCGACTGAAACGCTGATAACCGAGGAACTACCCTAAGGGACGCGCAGAATGGAGTCTCTGGAAGGCCCACCAGGCAAGCACTCTGAATTTACCAGGAACGATAACCCGTAAAATGTGCTGTCTCGATGCTTCGAGCGTGCCGGCAGTGAATGCACTCGAGAGAGACGAAAAGCATGCCGTGGAACAGTGGGTAAACAACGACGAGATCCAAGCTTCTCGACGTTTCGAGTGCCGGTGAAACGACCGATACACGGGTATCCCGAAGGCTCGCCAGTTCCTTCTTGCCGAAGAAGGGCCCGAAAATTTTCCACGGTTCCCCAGGCTGTCCAGGCGCCAGAAACGACTCTCGCCATCCAAGTATACACTTAACGTTCCTTTTACGCGGAATCTCACAGCACTTCAAAGCCATGGCGTTTGGAAAGCGTGGGACGGTTCGAACGGTGATTTATGATCTCTCGACTTATTGACCCTCGGTTATGACACTGGCTGACGCTTATGACCTTCCACGGAATACTTTAGGCTCCACCTAAGGTCGATCCTCGCTGCTCCCTTCCTCCCTTTTCTTCTCCAGCCTGGTCATCGACACCGCCACCTAGACTTTTGTTGCCTCTGCCTCTGTCGATAGCGCACTTCTGGCTTCCTCGAATCTGTCGCGCGGGTGTTTGCAAAATTTCTATGGTCATTCATCTTCTCTAACGGTTGGCCAGTGAATCGGCCAACGGGGTGGGTTATGGACAGGCTGTATCGTTGTTCGAAAGAATACACGCGTATCCATGGCTTTTTTCTCTTTTTCGGTACGCTGGACAAAATTGTCGCGTCAATCGGTAGTACTCCATTTTTCATTTCTATCTTGCAGTTACGTTCCTGAAAACATCGCGTTTCGCTGTGGATCTGTAAGCCCAAATGCACGACCCTGTAATATTTGGTAGAAATTTAAAGGGTCGAAGTTTAAAGAGCATTTGTTTGTTTCGTGTCAGTGAAGCTGCATTGCTTGGCTGTGAGGATCTTCTAATGGATGAAAGTATCCAAGTTTTCCATTACATCCCTTTCATACGATATTTCTCTATTTATATTCATTTATATTCTATATTTTATATTTCATTCTATATTAATTCGAAGATTCTCTGCTGACGATTAACACGTAGAATTATTTCATTTCGATACCTCACGCGTTGTTAGATCACCTTAAATTTGAGATATTATTTAGCATTGATCTCCAAAATTTTATTAAACGAGAGCAAAGGGTCGAGATACTTGGATCGATGAACTGTTATATCTTTTTTCAACTATTGTACATTTCTTCCTCATAGAGAACAAAATCCTGTACATCCCTGAGATCCATCCTCTCCAATGAAGTCATCTTGAGTATAACATTCCGAATTTCGAAAATAAGCAATACTTGGATCAGTGAACTTATATCTCTTTTTGTCCTATTCATTTTACTTCTTACGTTTATTATATTTTATTTCGCGTTTTCTATCAAATCTGTTTACTAACAAAACGTACTAGAAAATAAAATCTTGGCATTATCCATATCCGATCCGAGCCAATCTAAGCAGAGTTCTCTCGAGCTATAGGAATTTTTGCACGTTTCAAATCGCTCTATCCTTCCATGCTCCATGATTTTTAATAGAAACGAGTAAAAGGATCGCACTCCGATGCTCTCGAACCCTTTTGTCTTGCCGTGACGGCAGAATTAGCTCGTTCACCCTTCACCCTGCGTCAGATATACCTGGTGGGCACGAAATCGGAGCGTGGGAAGACGAAGGTCCGCAAAAGCGGACCCCATGCCGCTAATTGCAGGTGTTGCCAGTCGTTCGGCCCCGAAATCCGATGATTATGGCATTTAGCCAGATATCCGTGATTACGACGATCCCGGGCTTCCCCGTTGCCCTTTCGTTTTGCTTCTTTATTCATGATTATCGGCCGCACGAGACGACGCCTAATGCGAGGAAAGAACCGTATAAAAAGGGATATGTCTACGGTTGGCGTGTCAGAATTGCTTTTAATGACCGTCCAGACGGATGTGATTTACATTCACGCAGTTCCCAGTGTTTAAGAGGATTTCTCAGATTCGTTCATTAAGCTCTTGATTAATTGCCATAGTTCTGTTTAGAAAGCGCCTGCACGTCCTTTTTCAGCAAAGCTGGAGTTATGGGAATAACTATTAACTATGTCCTTTGGGATATTTCGTTTGCCGTAGAGTTTCAATTTTCATGGCCTTTTGGTTCATTTGTAATATTTATGGCTCCTTTCCCTTGCACTCGACGTTGAAAATTTTGTTTAAAAATTAAGTTTGTTTGAAGTAATTGGCTGTATCTAGATATGCATTGAATGTTTTGTTTATACTAATTAAAGTACAAGAAATATTAAATTTTTGTATAACTATGGGATACATAATTAAATTCGTTTGTCGTTTACAATACAGAGACAAATGACAACGATATATTTAGCAATTTTTAAAAATATCTACTATTTTATAGCACAATTTTCCGCAGTCCTTCCTAATTTTAAAATTATCCACGATTAGCTATCACTGTCAATTCGTCTTTATCGCTGCTATTATTTCTATACTGGAAATAACAAAATGACTCTCACTAAATACCACTAATGTAATCATAAATAGCAACATAACCGGAATAATTGCCAAAGCGTCACTTTTACTACGCCTGAATAAAATTTGCAAGAATAAATCTAGCCAGAACCCAGTACCATAATGTACGAAACATCGGTCTATCATTGTCTTTAATATACCCACAGCACGACGCGAGAAAACACAAAGCCAAAGCCATAAACCCTGCTTTATGGTCGTATAAATTATAATCGTATAAATCCACTTTAAACAATCACGTGGAGGCGAAGCGCGCGGTGATACGTGAGAAGAAAAATCAAATGTTTAAGGACAATCGTTCCTTCTATATCAGTATTCATTATACAACGCCGTTTTCAATTACCCGGGTCGAAGGAAAGTCAGGGATCGATGAGCGGGTAGAAAAACCACCATCGATTACACGGGGGACGATCTTGCGGTGTTTCCAAGGTGTTCAGTTTTCCTTATGCACCTTGCGGTCTGGTCGCTTGAAATTCAAACCGAAACCACGATGAATCATGTACTTATCGATTCAACACGGGCCTCGGTTCACCGTCTCGCTTCTTCCTCTTTTTCCTCCGTCTTCGAGTGTATCGGGGAACACGGTGAAAAGAAAAGGGCGTCGCGTCTGGCATCGCAAAACGCGCGAACCTCTATCCGCCATATCGTAAACCGAGTAAAACCAGGGAAGCAACAAAATAGAGAGAGAGAAATAAAGGAAACGCTTGTTTAATTCATTTTTCCGACAGTTCCGCCCATGGACCGTGCCCTCTCTAATTATGTGTACCTTTGGTAATTAGAAATCCGTAATAAATACGCGGAACGCGGTAAGAAGCGTGCAATTAAGCTGTCAGAGGTATTTTGATTTCGCGATTCGTGGAAATCCAGCTAGGTTTCTGTGCTTTCGCGGTAGGATTCTGGAATTGGGCATCGATGATTGAATGATTATTGGGTAAATTGTTTGACATAGTGAAATTTTGATTAGGGGTGGGCTAATCGGTGGCTTCGTTTGGCGATGCATCAATGGGAGAGTGAACATTGGTGTATATTAGTTTGTTGGTTCCTTGAACTTTTTCACCTGGGATTATACACGTGAGGATGTGCAACCAAATAGATTCGATAAAGAGGAAATTGCGATTAATAATTTATTTTCTGGAATATTTTTATTAACCCTTTGCACTCGAGAGGTGACCATCAGTCAGATGTTAATTAATATATCGAATTTGAAATTACCCAACGATTCGTGGAATATCGAAGTATAATAATTCTACGTCTTAATTTGCATGCCATTTCTTATTTAAAAGTTTATATTTTAAAAATATCGCCCATTTCATGACAGAAAGCCTTCGAATTACTATTTTTCTGCAACGAAAAAATCGCCGAGTGCAAAGGGTTGATAAATATTAAAAAATTTTTATCGACGACCTAGTTCGTGGGGCACTTGGTGCTAATACTTGTATTTTATAAGTTCACGTGAGTAATTCTGAGTTAAATTACTCTTAGAGGACTCTGTGTCTATCTTGTATTTAGGATGTTATAGATTGGACTACCAATTCCTGGTTAACTTTGTTATTTTCGTTATTTAACTTGGAAATTCTTTGAAAGTGCCAGGCAATTGGTTTCCGTGATCCAATTCTAACTGAATCTAATCTATCGCGAAACGTCACTTTGCTGATGAACGCTAACGAATGCTCTGATGCTGAAATTTCCTCTCAATTTTTCAACCTTTGGTCGGTGCTATTGAAATTATGTGAATTTAATAACCCGGGACGTCACTTTACTAACAAACGCTAATGACTGTAGTGGCTTGCTGGTCTTCACCTGTTGAAGGAATTACTTAAATTTCGTAGAGGTTAATTATCGCTGTTACGAGATTTCGCTGCTTGAGTAAAATTTAACCGAAAATCTCAAAGAAACGCTCAGAGCAAATCTACAGCGTATTCCAGCGGAATAATGGTTGGACCATTGATGGCAGAGGGTGCGATACACCCTGTCGGAATTTAAGAGGTTCAGATGCCTGACTCTCGGATCGTTGCCCGATTGTCGGACGTTTCTAACGTGTACATCCCTGAATTATTCCGCGCAGAGACAACTAGGGGGTGACATGGGGTAGGTGGGAAAGCAGGGAAAACGCGAAGATATTACACGGACATTGAGAGAGCAGAAGCAGGATAGACTGAATAATAGTCAGGTTACGGAAAAGTAGGCCAGCGTTTCCCACGAGAAATTTCGTCGATCTGCAACGTAACAAATTGTCTCTATCGTTTTGTTCTCTCTTTTCGCAGAGATACCGAAGAATGAGTACAACAACAAGAATCAGTCCACGGGGAATAGTCCAATAAAGGTCGAGCTGCAGAACAACATGGACAGGTAAGCCTATTTCATTTCCCGGCCTGGTATCGTCCGAGTCCGTTGTATTTCTTCGTTCCGATCCGAATGGATAGCGCGAACAAAAGGCGAGAAAAAATTCCACTACCGTGATGGTTAGAGAAAAGAAAAAAGGAGAGGAAGGTGAGGTTAGTACGAAGGAAGGTAACTTGTGAAAATTTCGGAAACGAGCCTGGAAAATGGAACAGTTCGGAACGAATGAACCGTGGCGAGCTTCTTCTTATCCAGGAGAGCACTCGACTCGTGAATCATCTATTCGGATGATGTCGCACAATGAGTAAATGTTTGAAGGCGAGATGTCATCCCGTCGAGGAAAGGTTTTTGTGCACGTGACACCACGTTACCGTGAAAAATCGTGCTCCTTGGGACCACGGAATGGCCCTCGCTGCGCGGGCCCTCGAGTTAGGTACTCGAAATTTGCTAAACGGTCGTAAACTCGTCAGTCCCAGGGGATTCTGTTTTTCTGCCAATGTTTTCGTTGTGTCCCGACTACTACTACTACTATGGATTTGGCTCGGTGTGCTGTTCCGATAATGGATTGGACGAGCAGCCGAATTTTTTCCCGGAATTTGGGTTTATCGGGAGCTCCATCTTTCCACACCTTGGATGGAAACAGTACGAGATGTAGAAAAATATCGTAGTATCTCTGCAATATACTTTTTATTTAGTCATTATTGGTAAACATCGGTCGTCTTTACTTCAGAAGTGTTTTAAAAATATCCTAACCCTCTATGGATGAATACTACCGCCATATACGTACCATATTTTCTTTCATTAAGTCGATATTGCAAAAATATTGAATTTTCGTGACTTTATTTTTAACCGTTTATTCACATTATATTTCGACTTACAGATTTGTCGGATTACGAAGAAGTTATTCGAGATGTCAGAGGATATATAACGTAGCAGTCATTTGCAGAAGATGTAGTACATAAATTTAGAGTATTTTACTATTCGAGACAATTAATTTCGTTCATATCAATCCAAACTCGTAGATATATCACTTCGATAAAAACGGAGAAATCTATTTCAAACGCAAAACAATAAAGAAGCTATACAAAACAACCATCAGACATTGCGACACGCGGACACGTATTTTTGTTCATAAAAGATAAGAATTTCAGAAAAAGATATTCCATCTGCTACATAGAAAAGTGAACTTTAACCTTCTCTTCCACCCATACGATAAACCTAGAGTTTCTCGTAGCAGAATAATTGGAAACAAAGCCGGTACATTTCCTTCCCTCAGACGTTGCTCATATGCATCAAGGATCCTCGAGCTCGAAATTTGAAGGCGAAAAAAAATACAAACTTACGTTGCTCCTTCGAATCTTTTCGTCTTAACCCGTGTCCAGAAATATTTCGAACCGAGAACCAGAAATATATCGATCCAATCGGTGGAAGAGGAAGAAGATCGGATAGAACCGAGTAAATTCGCGGGGATTTTCGAGGGTACAGGATGGTGGAAGAGGTGAAAGAGAGTAAAGACCTCCGCGAAGACGACTACGGGTGCGTCTGGCTTTCGTTTTCCATTATCGCGTGATGCAACGAAAGCAAACAGGCAGCCTCTCGCAGCTCGGGTACCCGGGCCCGTCCCGTTTAAATATTTTTGTTAGACGTTTCTGAGTTACTCGGAAGCGTGCGCGCGCTTCCACGTTCAGCATAAACATACTCCAGGGACCGGCCTGATGCTTTTGCGCGAGAGCACGTGACGAGTACAAATATATTTGCCCGCGTATCAAACGACGTGAACCCGACGTCCCCTTTGAAATCAACGGTTCAGAGACGGTGCGGAGTCGCGCGACAGCAGCGCCACCTCCGCCAGCCAGGCCCCCGGACATATATCCACGACGCCCTCTTCAATCGCTGAAACACAGAGAGAAATCGAGTAATTTTATAATTGAGTTCGCAACGTGACTGGAAAGAGGGTATCTGGCAAGGGACACGGAAAGAGCTCGATGGTACATTTGCGTTGGGAAGTTGAGGCAGATTTCATGATTGATGTTCGTATGACGCAGCCAAGCTAATAATCCCGCTAAAATGTGACTGATTCAAGTGTATATGCAACGAAGTAGGCAGGAACGGAGAGATTATCAGACGTATTAACCCTTTGCACTCGATGACAATTCGGCTAAAGAAGAGCAGGAATTCAAAGATTTTCTGCTATAAAGTTGATGATATTTTTTGGAGCAGTAAATAAGAATTTGTATAATAATTAACGCGTAGAATTATTTGATTCCGATACCTGGCACACCGTTAGATTATCTTAAATTTCACATATCAATGAGTATCGATGTTCGAAATTTTATCAAATGGCGACTGAAGGGCGCCCCTCGAGTGCAAAGGGTTAATAGTAGATGAAGACAGTTTGTTAGATTTCTTGTATTATTTGGAATATTGGTTTGACAGAAAAGAGAGAGGGAATTGAAATAAGGAAAAATAGAACCGGAGAAGATACCTAAGAAAACGTTCATTAATTATTGCGTATGGAATAGTTAACCCTTTAACTACTGCGGACTTTAAAAAGATAGGAATCCATTTGTGATGTATATTGAGAACCGTGAAACTTTTCGTTAGGTATGCATTTTCTGAAAAATTATCGTATATTCGAATAATACTCAAAACGCTATATTGCACTACATTGAAATTATTTATTTCTTTGCACTCTGCATTAAATTGTTACATACTTCAAATTTAACAGCAAACTAAACTTTTGAGCACCTTTCAGCGCTCACAGTAGTCAAAGGGTTAATAGGGATAATAAAATTGAAGCTAACGAAGAATAGAGTAGTTCTCTTTTTCGTTTTTAAGATACTTGAGAAGCAATAAAACGATTAACTTTCTTCGAAAGAGAAATTTTCTACGACTCACGTAATTGTTCTGAACGTACATATTTAGGTAAAGTAGAAAATTTCCGTATGACCGATCTGAAGTAGGACGATAATGTAACTTACGATGAATATAAATTGGAAATTATTGCAATGACTAATAAAGATAACGGTATTGGTCTAAAGTATAATGAACGTGAAAGGTGGAGAAAGATGAAATTCAAGAGGGAACGTCACATTAAATTGCCGAAGAAGAAAATCGATAGAGGGCACGAGTCGATGTTTGTATATTCAAATAAATCGCCACTGATAGAGAAGAATAATTTCGCGACCTATTGCTCTCCTTTTATCAATTCACTATCACTCCGATGCGGTAGATGATCGTTAAAGCATGAGGCGGAAGTGAAACGAGATCAACGCTGATTTCAGGGTACCTTTGCCGTACGGCCACGCGCCCTCAATGATCCCAATGAGGAGACAAAGCATTCGTTGCCATTTTGTCAAAGGGGTCGACTGGTGCAGCTGGAAATTAATTGCGATGATACTGCTTATGGTCTCGTTGTGCATAACGGCAGCGCTGGCCTATGTCGTAGGTAAGTTGTAAATTTATGTCTATGAATTAAACTAGAAACAAATGTTTGCACTGCACGAATAGTTTGCCTATAATCAATTGACATTACTCGTCTTCGATTTCGATTATTATACCTGAACCAAATTCTACGTAATTTTGAATATTGCGTATGATATGCTATACCATAATTGGCGTACACTACGTACAACGTGGTGTATGAGTTGATCACGTATTGGTTGTATGTTGCACGAAAAAAAATTGACATTCAATGATATAGATTTCTCGAATAATTAATGAACAATTGGTTAATCAGGTACCATGTTTATAGAGGAAAATTAGGCAAATGTGGTGCAAATTTTTGTTAACACTGAACCCCTACCATGACCTAAATGAACAATTTCAAAATTTTCGTCAGAAAGTCTGACGTGTTTTTAGAAATTGCAGAAACGAAACTGCCCCAAGCCATTAAGTCCTTCGTCACTTTGATAAACCCTCGAATAAAGATTACGAAATATCTCGTTCTCGTTTCAGTTTCCAGCATAGTGAATCGGTCCTACCAGGGCACGAAAGCGTGCACGGTACTGGTCGGCGAGAACGTGGACACGAAACCGTTGTCGTCAGAAGGGAACAAGACCTCTTCATCGGCGGTCGCGTCGTCGTCGCAGTCGAGCGGCCGAACACGGCAACAGACGTCGTCAGGAGGTAGTATTAACCCGTCGGCTAGCATGTTAGAGCACGCGTACATCCGTAAGCGTAGGGACACGTTTAACCAGCATGTGTTGCACCAAACTGTCGCATCCCGTGAACGCACCGACGAGCTGCACTCGTCGACTGTGACAAACGAAGCTGCGTCACGGTCCGGGCAGCGATCGGTCCAGTTCAACGAGGATCGTCCACGTGGTGTGGTTGTTGTGCATGAAACGGAGCATGCGGATGATCCTCGGCCGAAAGTGAACGCCGGACGTGCAGACGACCTGCTCGAGGACGTGCTCGAGTCTTCGTGGTCGTCTTCGTCTTCAACGGGACCGACGACGACTCCCACGGGGGCGTTGCTTCGCGTGAATGTCTCTGACTCTTCGACTACTACTACTAACTATTCGCACGATCGTCACGATACCACTGTCGCTGCTGACGACCTCGCCACCCAGTCCTCTGTCTCTGTTGCCTCTGTTGACCCTGCTGCTAGCGATCGTTCGTACGCCTCTTCTTCGTTCTCCTCTTCCACTTCATCTAACGAACCGGCAGACCAGCCTTCAGAGAGTCGAGCCAAGGACGTTGACACGGAGTCCGCGTTAGACGACCGGGATTCGATCGCCGTGGCCACTACCGAGCCGATTATCGCGGGGAATCGCGTCTCGATCGTCGAGTTTACCGAGCTCGTTCACTTGTCGAGTACGGACAATGCTAACGCTGGAACTACCGAAACTTGGAGCGTCCCTGGGGCTTACGCTAGTTCGCAAGCAGCGATTTCGGTAGACGTAGAATCGAAGAAGTTCCGGGAGAACGTCCGTGAGGAAGTCGAATCGATCACCGTGAGAGATTCATCGTACGATGGGAGTAGTACTAGTAGTAGCGTAGAGCTCGCACCAGAAGAAGTAGAGTCGAGGTTAGAGGAAAACGTAGAAAGGAACGTAGAGTTGTTAGAGAACAGCGAGTACACGAGTAGCACGACTTTCTCCGGGAATACCACCGGGTATGACGGTCCTGTCGTGAATTTCACCGATTCGTCGAACGTAAGTACCACCATTAGCTCGACCAAGAGCAACGTCGATGTTAACGCTGTACCGGCGCGAGTAGATGAACACGTAGACACTGCTAGTTCAGCTTCGTCGAAATATTCGGTGAAGATAAAGGAGGGCGTGAGTGCAGGGCGGAAGGATGAGGAAGGCAAACCGAATGGTAAGAATCTGGAAACTGAAAGTACTGCTGGGAACGGACCGCAGGATCCGAAGAATGCGAATTCTTCCGACAATTTTTCGGACGTCGTGAAGGAAACGCGAGAGCTCTCCCGGGAAGATTCCTCGTCCGAATCCGATACCTGGCCGAGTCGCGTGAAAAGTTCCGAGAAATCCGAGGAACTCCAGCGGGACTATCCTTTACCGATTTATAATTACGGCCAAGACGAGGTCGAGATCGTGAAGCTGAACCACGGCGACGAAATAGCTGGTACGACGACCAGGGCTAAGGAACGTGATCGTTCGGTGTCGTTCGTGAACGAGCTCAAGACGAACAATGTCCCCCGTCTGATGCATCAGACCGGTGATCTGCGAGTGATCACCAGGGAGGAGAGCGACGAGGAATTTCTGCGAGAATTCAGGAGGAAATTCCACGAGAAATCGACGGAAACGGATTCCATGCCTGAAAAGACCTATGATACTTCCAACAACGCGGAACGTCCCATCTCGTCCAACTCCGCGACCGAGCCGTCATCGCCACTCACACAGCAGGTGAAAATCATCGAGGTACCCGTCGATCGACATTCTCAATCCCCATCGACTTCATCGTCATCTTCATCGTCGCATCGGGTGCTTGTGAACATCACGATTGCTTCCGGGGACTCAGCTTCCGCAGCCTCGAAACCGCTTTACGTGCTGTCCGTCTCGGTGCCTACGAATGGCGACGCTGACCGTCAGCCGTCCGGGATGAACGTGGAACAGCTTCAGGTGCGCGAGCACCAGAATCCCGTGGAATCGGCTTCGAGCATGGCTAAGGTCGCGAATCCTGTGGATAGGAACGATAATCGATTGCCTCCGCCGCCGCAGCCACCTTCGTCGCCACCGCCTCCGATCTGGGCTGGTGGCGAGTGCGAGTGCTCTTGCCCGTGCATGGGCTCATCCTCTGACGAGTGGGACAACTTTTCAGCGATCGACGAGAACCTAAACTTCGACCAAGAGCAGCCGCAAAATTCGAATCTCTCGATGGACGAGACGTACCAGCACAGGACACAGACGATGCCCGATACGGGGCAGGATCAAAGTGGAAAAGAGTCCTCGGTGACTGTGGAGGATGTGGTAAAGGGTGAGGGGACTACGAGCACCGAGCACGATTATCTCTCTACCACAGAGGAGAACAGCAGTACCGTTGACTGGACCACCTCGAATTACGAGACAGAGTCGAGCAGCATAGGCATGTCAGGGTGTTCTGGGACCACCCCTTTACCCCCAGAACCCACTATACTGATCCTGGAAGGTGAGGCCCCGTTTACGATTGTTTTCAAACGTTTGCTCATCTATTAACCGATTATCTTTCACGTCTTCTCGCTTCCGTTTTTATAATCTTCGCTGTAATACGTTTCTACGCTCTTCTTCGCTGTTGTTTCTTCTCTCTGCCTTTTTCTATCTTTCCACGCTCTTTATTCTCATCTTTCACCCGCCGATGCGAGCTTTTCTTTCGCTTGGATAAAACAACACGTAGCGATCCGCCAAGTAGTACTTATCACGCTCGAACTTCGTTTGCCTGTAGAACGTTCGCTGCGGCGTGTTTAAGCGTGGGTAACGTGTAGCGGTTAGACCGTAGAGAAGTTTGTGTAATATTGTAATACGGTGCTGGTGCATCTTGGCGTGTACGCAACTACGTAACCGAGGTATTTTCTAATCAGCTCGTGCACGAAATTGTTGCGAAAATAAAGAGAAAGAAAGACAACGCTGATGATAGTATTACGCTAGGAGAGCGTGATGAGAATTCATTGGAAGGTCCTGTGTAAGAACACGGTTTTTCTTTTTTTTTTCTTTTTTTTTTCTTCATCATTTTGTAACTTTCTTTGTTCTCTTTCTTGTCTGCGAGTAAAAAAGAAAAAAGAGTAATGTCAGATTGGAAACCAGTTGGCTGACCCTTGCGAAATTGCGAGTATAGGTTTAACAGTTAGTAGAGATTAGTCGATGCGAAATAACGATACGAATAAAAACTTGTCACGAAATTCGCTGATACGCAAGCCTAGCTAAGTATAAAGCCACGCAATTTTTATATACCTTTTTGCTTTATAATTAAGCAAGTACAATCAGTTTTCTGATGGAAAATGTATCTAATATCTATACCTCGAGAAACTGTTGGACGATAATAATAAAATATGGGATAATTCTGGAAGCTGAAGTAACGAATTATTTTCATGATTATGTTACAATAGTTAGTCCTATATTTCTTGTCACGAGTTGGTAATTTAAAAAAATTCTAACAAATTTAATATGTATTAATTGAATCTAATTTCCAAATACTAATGGCAGCACAAATGGTAGCAAATTATAAAATATAAGAATTATAAAATAGCCTTTGGTTCGTACAATCTCTGTACTTCAGTTGAAGACATGTCTTCTTTGCAAACAAAAATAGCCTTCATTAGATAATTTGAAATGATTTCTCTGTTCACATTTTTCTCGTGTTTACTCGGCACTAGAACTATCAACCCCTAGAGTGTGTCTAAAAATAATTAGCTGATGTAAATTACATTTGTATCTCAAAGTCACCGAGCTCTTAACTTTTCCAAGAGCAGCTACATGCTTTCATTCGTTAAAAGACAAGAAGTTTGGAACCAGCTGTTGGAAAGAAGATCGAATCGTATCTGAACATCAGGTTCTAGAATCATCCCGTGTATCTATGCGAATCGTACGAACCCACTTCCACGGGATATCGAAATTACATCTTTCATCCTGACAATACCTGATAGAAAACTGATTCCCCACGAAAACGAGACGTTCTCACTGACGTTACCCTGTCTCACGTTATCCAGGTGCAAGAACTTTCCCTGCCAGGTCTTTTCCACCTGACGGCACGACTTTCGCTCAAGTAGGCCTGGGACAGAAGCTCAGCAAGGAGATACCACCGTATAGCTATTGGAACATGCAATTCTACCAGTCGGAAGCCGCGTACGTGCGGTTCGACTATAATATCCCGCGTGGTGCCAGCATTGGTGTCTATGCGAGAAGAAACGCGCTTCCCACGCACACGCAGTACGATCTCCTGGAAGTATTGAGTGGTTTCAAGGCCAGAGCCACCAGGGCGTCCCATGTTAGTGTTATTGTATGTGCCATTGCCCCATTTTTATTTTTTTTCTATAGTAAATGCGTAGAAAACGTCTGTAGAAGTACAGTAAGATCTGATAGATCGAGATGTTGCTCCGAGAATGATCATATCTTTTCGATGACAATTGATTTTATTTTATATTGCTTTTTTTTTCATTAATCCTAAGGAGAGCAACGTCAGTTGATTACTTTCGAAGAATACTCTGAAGAGATTTTTTTTTAATTTTTTTCCCTCGGGAACAATGGTAGTGGAAGAATCGATGAGAAAGGCGGTGAGGTTTTGCTAAGATTTGCTGGTTTCTCGTCTAGCCATCTATCAAGAAGGAAGTGACGCACTACATGGAGCCTGGTCATTGGTTCCTTTCGTTGTACAACGACGACGGAGATCCTCAGGAAGTGTCATTTATAGCCATAATCGCGGAAGACATGACACACAATTGTCCTAATGGCTGTAGTGGAAAGGGCGAATGCTTGCTAGGTCATTGCCAGTGCAATCCTGGTTTCGGCGGCGAAGATTGCAGCGAGAGTGTTTGTCCTGTCCTTTGCAGTCAACGTGGTAAGTGTAAAGGTGTACCATATAAACTCGAGAAAGGACGATGAGCGATATAATAATGAAAGTCATGTCGAAGAAAAATATTTCCCAACTCGGGAAAAGTGAAATATCCATCGCGTTAACTTATTCCATCGATCCCTTTCATCTCTGTGGTTCCTGGAATTAGAGTACTTTGTAGTTTTACGCCGGGATTATAGATCTGCAGTATTTCGAATACTGATTTTCGTCCGAGTTTGCGTATGTGTAGAATTTTCAAGCTACCCAAACTCTAGACAACTACTTAGGTTACCATAGCATTATCCCCAAGCTGAGCTTCCAAGTTTAAGAAAGTTCCTCAACTCTATCTACGTTCACCAACGTTAGAACAACCTAGCAAAACAATTTCTTATTCCGCTGTTTTAACATCATCTTACCTCGCATGACTACAGGCGAGTACATAAACGGAGAGTGCCAATGCAACCCCGGCTGGAAGGGCAAGGAGTGTTCCCTGCGACACGACGAATGCGAAGTGCCTGATTGTAACGGACATGGCCATTGCACCAATGGAAAGTGCAATTGCGTGCGTGGCTACAAAGGAAAGTATTGCGAGGAAGTCGACTGTCCTCATCCAACTTGCTCTGGTCACGGTTTCTGCGCGGATGGCACCTGCATCTGTAAGAAAGGATGGAAAGGAGCAGATTGCAGCCAGATGGACAAAGAAGCATTGCAATGTCTGCCTGACTGCAGCGGACACGGCAACTTCGATCTCGAGACACAGACATGCCTGTGTGAACCCATGTGGTCTGGCGACGACTGCTCAAAAGGTAAACTATGTTGCTCAAAATTGCCTGTCAAATTAGTTAGGGACTGAAGTTCTGTTTGAAGTTGTGATACAATGCGAGAAACAACAAGTACATTTTTTGTAAATTGAACAATATAATTTCGTCCATTTACGAAGAAAAAATGCTCGTTAGAAGCCCTAGAGATTTAATAGACGACACACGCAACCCTATCTTAATTACCCTTAATAGCCTAGCAATTAAGTTAATTGTGTAACTGAAATCGAATCACCCTGAGGTTATGAGACATAACGTGAACTATACCAGACTGGTAGAACTTTGACTTCCGTGATCCAAGAATCGTAAAACCTAAGATAAACACCACTGGAATTGTAGGGTTGAAGCGAATCACAGTGAGACCATAAGATCCCAAATTGATGAGCTTCGACTTTTCAAGATCTCTCTGTCCTTAGGTTCGAAGACGCAAGATAGACAAACTCACAGAGTCACGGTGTTAGAAATGGACGAGCTAGAGGTTTTAAGACTCGTACCTGGTATCCAGGCAAATCACGAGATCCAAAATGAGTTCACTTCAAAAATCTACGACTGTAGATGAAGTATAGTAAAATTATATCGACGATACTGACAGCGTGTCTAAAACTTGTAGAATTTCACACAATCCTCTGCTAGAACCCTGGCTGACATTAAATAAAAGATCTCTAACTTCATCATAGCCCTAAGAATTTGATAGTTGGCGTTCTAGAGATTAGGAATGATCTAAGGTTCGACCCATGGCCCCAGAATTGGAATGATACGAGCCTTCTAGGTACCAGTTGGCCCTAAATAAGTTCTAGGATCCCGATATCAGTATGATCGGATCTCTTTAACTTTGGTGTCCAATATGGTTTTCTACGGATATATGTATATGGTCCAAGATGAATACTCTCGAGATATATCAAGATTTATTATCGTAATCCTGTTGTAACTTTATCCTTTTCACACTTTTTTAGGATTGATAACCGATAAAAGGTTAGTTGCTGATAGTATAATCTAATAACATATTTAATCCTATATATTTCGAACTTCTTTTTTAGCTTTCCAAACGTACTTTCCTTCGCTTTGTATCATAACTTCAAATCGGTTTCGTATATATGATATGGAATAAATATTAAAATCTTCTCTTCTGTACTCCGAACTACACCGATTAATCGATTCTTATGTTTTCAGGTGTCACGTCTAAAAATGATCTATTCTATACGTGTCTGCGATCGATTTTTTATTCTCCCGTGTTTTTGAACCCTTTGAAAATAATGGTTGACTGAATTTCCTATGTCAACTAATTCTATTTTACTTGACAATACCATAAGCCGCTGTTCTTTCCTGGCTTCTGTGTTGCTTGCAGACACTAACTCTCTCTCTCAAAGACGTTCACGAAACATCGATACAACGCAACTCACAATTCCTCCTGCTATCTTTTTCAGAACTATGCGACTTGGATTGCGGTCCCCATGGGCATTGTGTTGACAACGCTTGCGAGTGTCTGTCCGGATGGTCCGGTGAATTGTGCAATTTGAAGCAATGCGATCCACGATGCAACGAGCATGGTCAATGTAAGAACGGGACTTGCTTGTGCGTGACCGGTTGGAATGGGAAACACTGTACTATGGAAGGCTGCCCGAATTCCTGTTCCGGACACGGACAGTGCAGAGTCAGCAACGATGGACAGTGGGAATGTAGGTGTTACGATGGCTGGGATGGCAAGGACTGCAACATGCTTCTCGAGCAGAACTGCAATGACGGAAGAGACAATGACAAAGGTACAAAACAAGTGGAAAGGAGACTCGAAATTTAAGCAATACTGCCACTAGGATTATGACATCTATTTTGGAAGAAATAGTTATCGATCAGAGATACCTTAAAGATGCCCAAAGAGGTAGCCTCTCTTGGTTTCACACGGATTTTGTTGTATTTTATGACAGAAAACGCTCAGCTAAATTAGAAAGTTGCTTCATTCTAAATATCCCTGTCTAAATATGCGAATCTAAGAACGTGTGATTCATGGATATATTCCAGCTTGTGTCTTCACGTGTTTCATTTTCATATTACCCCAAGCCCTAAATCATGGGTGTGGTTTATGTCAGCCATTTGGAACATTAGACTCGGATGTAAAGCTATCGGCACAGTCTAGAGCAAAGAATGAACCCAAGATCATATTCATACGCAACTAATCCAACAAATGTATACTATGAGTGCATCTAGCGATCAGCTTTCCTAATTGCCCTATAATGTACTTTCCAGACGGTCTCATCGATTGCGCGGATCCGGAATGTTGCTCGAATCATATATGTCGTAGCAGCCAGCTTTGCGTGTCAGCACCGAAGCCGATCGATATACTTCTGCGAAAGCAGCCGCCGGCCATCACTGCCTCTTTCTTTGAGAGGATGAAATTTTTAATCGACGAAGGCAGTCTGCAGAACTACGCGCGTCAGGAGACCTTCAACGAAAGGTGAGTTACGCGATTGCCAGCACATGTTTACGATTCTCCTACGTCCAACGCGGCCGTCTTATAATTCTAATTACGACGATGATACACACGTGTTATAGCATTATTATTGGAGAGAAACGTACACACGAATTTCGTCGACTTGAACGTGTCTCCGTATCCGTGTCCGTCCGTCCGTCCGTTCATTCGTACGTTCGTCCGTCCCGACTTTGATGTTACATGCAGTATTTTCTTTTTTTTACGTGTGTTGAATCAGACACTTGATTTACAGACACATAAAAGACATATAAGACATAGAAACTCGGTAGCCACTAAGACACGTTATATATTACAATATATAATGTTTCGCAAAACGAGGTATACGTCTGAAAAGAATGCATGTCTTGCGGGTCGACTAAAGATTATTAAGGTTATTGCTTACCCTGCCCCCGTGAAATGTACAGGCAAATTTGTTCTCTCGCGAATGATCAATCACGCGACAGGCCTAAACTGGCTGATGGCTGTTTAAAATATGAATGAGCCGCGCTAAACCCTAGGGGCCCTAGTAACCTTTAGCTGCGTCAACCCATAGCAAGACACATGCATATACAGATCTTGCTACCGATCTATCTTTTCATATATATATTCTTTTTTTTATACATCGTCCGTATACACGTATATTATACAAGAAACACAAAGACGTATACATAGATATGATATATTCTCTGCGTTGTTGTGACCCGTGTGAAATCACATCCCAAACGTTTTATACATATGTTTGTACGTACGTGTGCGCGAGCGTGTGCCCTGCACTGAACCCCCCGTTCTCTTCATTCTATCTCACTATCATTCTATACCTATCTCTTCGTCTTTATCGCCATTTTATCTGTCATTATCGATCCGATCGATGATACACGTATGATCGACAATCTCTCCATATACACTCTTCTCTCTTTCTTTCATTTTCTCTCTCACGTGTCCGTCCGAGTGGAGCTTGGGTGAATGTGTGACTCCATACTCGAGCCTAGAGCTTTAGGCCCCATAACCATCGATTAGAGAGGGAATAATTACAAATCTGAAAAATGTCTCTTCCCTGCCGGATTTATAGAACCGATTCATAACTGATTCACGACGATCTCTGCCATACGTCGTATAAATTTCGTTGGAAAATATTTCGAGGATTTTCAAAATCCTCTCCACGGTTCGACGATCGTTCTAAATACGAAATTTCGACATTATCTCTCTATCACTTCCTGTTCATCCATCTGAGGGATATTCTCCCAAGTTAATCGAACTATCTATTTACACATCTATCCCCTATCTCTCTATCTTCGACTCCCCTAATCTCTCTATTTTCTCTTTGTATTCTCTAACTCTTCTCCAACTTTCTCTCTTTCTTCTCTATCTTTTCCATCTAGTTTTGCCTTTAATCACATCATTTTAACTCGGCTCTGTTTTATCCGTGCTGCCCGGTCAGTATGTTCTGGAATCACTTCAACACAAGGTAAGAAAGCCATTACGTCGAACAAGGAAAAAGTAAAAAAAAAAAATAAAAAAAATAAAAAAGAGAAAAGAGAAAAATAAATGAAAAGAAAAGTATAAAACACCGGTTTGCGAGTTCGTAGAAGTACATATAAGCCGTTGAATAGCTGCTGATGCTGTTTGACGACATTTTCTTGCATTTGGTATCATGTGTAACACACAATAACGTAATATATACAAACTCCTGCATCCGAATCGAGGTTGCCCGCGCGCGCTCAATTCAATTTCGAGAACGAGCCTCTTCACGACTTGCCGGCACTTGATTCGTCACGAAAGTTGTCGACAAACGGAAGAAGAACCTCCCTCGAAGAATGTGACGCGGCGTGCGACTGATCAAACAGACTAATAATCCACAAAAAAAAAAGAAAAAAAAAAAAAGAAAAAAAAATATATATGAAAGCTCACGACACCAGCCCCCCTCGTCTCCTTCTCATCAATGTTCGAATCTCTTTCTCGTTGCATGGTTTGGTTACCTTATTATTCCTACGTTGTCTTTCGTGCCTTTTAAGTTGAGCTTCTGACTTTGTGTTATTCGTGTATGTGTATGTATATATATGTATTACTAGCAGTTCGACTTGGACCGATGCTTCCTCAGTGCCAACGAGGCATCGATGCATCGTAGTGTATACGAATATTGCACCAGATTCAATGCGAGGAAAATAAAGATGGAACAACGATACGAATATTTTCCTTCGTTTTCCATCTTGTTCAAGTATGAAAGTTTTTCAGTGCTGTCCTTAAACTGGGAGAATTTTTGGAAAATTTCATATATAGCGTTATCTTTCGTTACCTATTTTCTTTCAAGTTGACAAATTTTCACGGTGGATTGTTATATTTTATATAAAGCATATTTTCCAATTTCTGTCCAATTAGATAAAGAGCTTTCGAAGAAAAATCAACAACGACATCTGTTAATAGAACATGAAATTTATCGGTGGATAAAAGAACGTAAAAAGAAGCTTCCCAAATGATAGGACTCAGTGAGGACAGCACCGATTACTCGATAAAGAGAAACGACCAGTAATAAAAACTTAGTGGACACTCTTCTTCGACTATTTACCACCTCTTTAGCACTGAAAAGCAACGTTGACAAGACTGAAGTCGCGTTGACTGGATTTTCCCGCGAATTCAAGTTCACAAGCACGGAGTACCAGTTACTCGAACGAGGAAGTACTGTCGCAGTGAAACGAGCAATGATGTTTGCTAAATTGCTCGATATTTATATATGTCTGCATAATTTTCCTTTATTTCACTCGTTCCACCATGCAGTAGTAGCGGTAGGCGACAGTACATCTTCGTTCTGAGATTTATTACTTGAGAACACTGCAAGACAAAGTACGAACAAGGAGTAATACTGTCGTAGATTGAAATTAGATTAGATGATAACAGTTGCTTTGTTGTTAGTGTGCCACGGAGCACAGTGGAAAAAGTAATCACATTAGTTGACACGACTGACCTGACAGCCATTGGATCGTTAACGTTATTGTTTCCTGACAGCCGATCGGCCGTTGTCCGTGGCCGTGTTGTCACGCATCTTGGCACCGGTCTGATGGGAGTGCGAGTCAGTACCAGCACACCCCTGGAAGGCTTCACCCTGACGAGAGACGACGGCTGGTTCGATCTCCTAGTGAACGGTGGTGGCGCGGTCACTCTGCAGTTCGGCAGATCGCCCTTCAAGCCGCAGAGCCACATAGTTTTCGTGCCCTGGAACGAGGTAGAATTGTGTTAGATAATTCAGTATTCATACATACACTTTCTGACAAAAGTTGAGAAACAAAGTAATAATTGGTGAATTTTTATATGTATATTTTTATCCTCTGAGATAGATAGATTAAATTTAAAAATAACGATACTTTTTAAGTATCGTTATGTTGACTGATTATAAAGTATTATCTCTTTATTCTATTTTTAATTTTAATATATGCATCTCGGAACATAAAGAATGTACAAACATTCACAAATTATTTTCTACCCTCAACTTTTGTCACCAAGTATACTTTCTATATATCAGTCTTATTAAATAAATCTTGCGATTGTTCTATTTGTCCTTTAGTCTAGTCTTCCATGATTTTAATCGATGAATAAAATTTAGAAATTGTGCAACTAATTAGCGTAAATGATAATGATTAACATAGCATAAAATGGATTACAATGGCATATAAATGGAAAATTACAATTTACACGTGACAAACGAGAGTCAAATTTGAAATGAAGTTTAACGCAATTCCTAATTTAATTAAAAGTAACTACCAATCTGCATATTATACTTTGATATTCTTCATCTTTTGGTATATATAGTAGCTACTCTACTCTAACCGATACATTTAGTTAAAGAAAAAGGACCCAAGAATTTAAGCATTCTTAAAGGAGCTTATTTTTAACATGGAGAGTAACACAAATGTGATCTTTTCCTAAAGGTTGTAATAATCGACAAAATCGTGATGAGCGCCGCGGAAGAGAAGCAGCCTAACCACATCCCACACGCGTGCGCGGCTCACGATTACGACCTGATGAAGCCAGTGGTTCTGGCGACGTGGAAGCACGGCTTCCAGGGAGCGTGCCCCGACAAGAGCGCCATTTTGGCAGAGTCCCAAGTCATACAAGAAAGCCTGCAAATACCTGGCACGGGGTTGAATCTCGTTTACCATAGCTCTAGAGCAGCCGGCTATCTGTCCACTATACAGCTGCAATTGACTCCGGAAGTCATACCACCGACTCTTAATCTAATTCATCTAAGAATTACGATCGAAGGAATATTATTCGAGAAGACGTTCGAGGCTGATCCAGTAATAAAATTCACCTACTCGTGGAACCGATTGAATGTCTACAGACAACGAGTTTACGGTGTCACCACGGCTATGGTGAAAGTGGGATACGAGTATAATGACTGCAAGGATATCATCTGGGACGTGCAGACAACGAAACTGAGCGGTCACGATATGTCCATCTCTGAAGTTGGCGGTTGGAATTTGGATATTCATCATAGGTACAATTTCCACGAGGGTATTCTGCAAAAAGGAGATGGTTCGAATATCTATTTGAAGCAAAAACCAAGGGTTATTCTTACGACCATGGGAGATGGACTTCAGAGACCGTTAGACTGTTACGATTGCGATGGGCAAGCTTCCAAGCAACGACTTCTTGCGCCAGTAGCTCTTGCTACTTCTCCGGATGGTTCCATCTTTGTTGGCGATTTCAATCTCGTAAGGAAGATCCTCGTGGATGGCACTGTTAGGACTGTCGTTCGACTCAAGTAAGTTTCACATCTAATATTAACATTTTTTCATAAGGCAAAGTCTAACATTGTTTTAAATGATATAGTCATATATCCTCATACAGCTATTTTAAGGAACTAATAATAAAATTTCTTGGAATATTCAGACACTCGAATCATTCAATGGAACATATTTTTAACGAGTCATTCTTAATCTTTCAGTGCAACAAGAGTTTCATACCGGTACCACATAGCTCTCAGTCCACTGGATGGTTCCCTTTACATCTCCGATCCAGAATCTCATCAAATCATCCGTGTTCGCGATACCAATGACTACTCTGAACCTGATCACAACTGGGAAACGGTAGTTGGATCCGGGGAAAGATGTCTTCCGGGTGACGAAGCTCATTGTGGTGATGGTGCTCTCGCCAAAGATGCCAAACTAGCCTATCCTAAAGGGGTAGCTGTATCTGCAGACAATGTATTGTATTTCGCAGATGGAACGAATATCAGAATGGTCGATAGAGATGGTATCATCACCACTGTGATCGGTAATCACATGCACAAGTCGCACTGGAAACCGATTCCTTGCGAGGGTACCTTAAACGTGGAAGAAGTTCATCTTCGTTGGCCTACAGAATTAGCGATCAATCCTCTGGACAACTCGTTGCATATGATCGACGACCACATGGTGCTTCAATTAGCTCCAGATGGCCGTGTCAAGGTCGTTGCTGGTCGCCCACTTCACTGTGCATCACCATCCTCCTCGTTCGACACTGAACTCGCGACACACGCAACTCTAGTGATGCCTCAGAGCATTGCATTCGGTCCTTCGGGAAATCTGTATATCGCAGAGAGTGATTCGCAGAGAATTAATCGCGTAAGAATAATTGGCACCGATGGAAAGATCTCGCCATACGCTGGAGCAGAATCCAAGTGCAACTGCCTGGAACGCGGTTGTGACTGTTTCGAAGCTGACCACTACCTAGCCTCTACCTCAAAGTTCAACACGATATCTGCGGTGGCTGTGTCCCCGGACGGCGTGGTTCATATCGGTGATCAGGCAAATTATAGAATTCGATCCGTCATGGCGAGCATCCCTGATGCCAGTGGCGCTAGGGAGTACGAGATCTATTCCCCGGATACTCAAGAAATTTACGTGTTCAACAGATTCGGTCAGCACGTTGCCACTAAAAACATCCTCACTGGCGAAACTGTCTATCAATTTACGTACAATGTCAATACCAGCAATGGAAAACTTAGCACTGTGACGGATGCAGCTGGTAATAAAGTATTCTTGTTAAGAGATTACAGTAGCCAGGTGAACTCCATTGAGAATACCAAGGGACAGAAGTGTAGACTTAGAATGTCTAGGATGAAAATGTTACACGAATTGAGCACACCGGACAATTACAACGTCACGTTTGATTATCATGGACCGACTGGTTTGTTGAAAACGAAATTGGATAGCACTGGTAGGAGCTATGTTTACAATTACGACGAATTCGGTAGGCTCACTACTGCAGTTACTCCAACAGGGAAGGTAATCAGCCTGACCTTTGATCTGAGTCTCAAGGGAGCAATCGTGAAGGTGGGACAGAATAATAGGAAACCTATTTCCATGCTGATCAAAGGATCTTCCGTTATCACCAAAGTCGGGGAAGCTGAACAGAGAACGACTGTGCTTCCTGATGGCTCCGTAGGTCAGGTCACACCATGGGCTCATACAGTCGATACTGACACCTTGCCATACTCAGTGTTAGCTGAAATCGAGCCACTGTTAGGCGAAAGCTATCCAGTGCCGGCTAAACAGAGAACAGAAATAGCTGGAGACCTAGCAAATAGATTCGAATGGAGATACTTCCTTAGGAAGCTTCAGGGTAATAAAAATAGAGGCAATACAAAGTCTGTGGCGCAAGTTGGCAGGAAGCTTCGTGTCAATGGGGATATTCTGTTGTCTCTCGAATATGATAGAGAAACTAATAGCGTGGCGGTATTCATGGATGATGTAGAGCTTCTAAACGTCACCTATGATAGAACAGCAAGACCGGTTAAGTGGGGACCGAGGAATGGTATCTTTTCTGGAGTAGAACTCGAATATGATCGGTTTAGTAGATTAACTAGCTGGACTTGGGGAGACATCAGCGAAACGTATGGATTTGATAGAGCTGGAAGGTTGTATGAAATCAAATACAGTGATGGCACGTCAATGGTATACGCGTTCAAAGATATGTTCAGTAGTCTTCCACTAAAAGTGACCACTCCAAGAGGAAGTGACTATTTGCTGCAATATGATGAGGCTGGAGCTTTACAATCATTGACTACTCCAAGAGGACATATTCATGCTTTCTCATTACAAACTTCTCTAGGTTTCTATAAGTATCAGTATTACTCGCCTATGAACAGACATCCATATGAAATTTTGTACAACGATGATGGACAGATTTTGGCTAAGGTGTATCCTCATCAGAGTGGCAAAGTTGCCTACGTTTATGATCATACTGGCAAATTGGAAACTACACTTGCTGGTAAGCAATGCAAATATATTTATTTGTTTTCTATTTAGCTATTTAATTTCCAATTTTATTTTCATTAATATTTCCTAACTTCATCTAATCTCGAATATGCTTATATAGGACTGTCTTCGATACACTACACGTATCAAGAAACGACGAGCTTGGTCCACAGCATCGACATCAACGAACCCAACTTCGAGGTGCGCATCGAATACAAATATCACGCCGGAATTGTCAAAGACGAGAAAATCAAATTCGGTAGCAAGAGTGGTTTGGATAACGCACGTTATCGTTATCAATACGATGGCAACGCACGAATATCTGGTATCGAAGTTGACATCAACGGCAAACAGCTTCCTCAATTACGACTGAAATACAATCAAAACCTTGGAATACTAGAAGGCATGGGAGATCTTAGGATATACAGAAACCTGTTCAACAGATCCGTCATGCAAGACAGCAGCAAACAGTTTTTCACTGTCACAGACTATGACGAACATGGTCGAGTCAAGTCAGTTCTGATAAACATCCGATCACTGGACGTGTTCCGTATGGAACTCGAATTCGATAACCGAAATCGCATAAAAATGAGGAAATTGTCCATTGGTAAGGACGCTATGGAAAAGAAAGAATGGACCAAGATGGAGAAGATAACGTACAATGCTGATGGACATGTACTGGAAGTAGCAGATACGGAGAATAATTGGCAGTATGCGTACGATGAAAATGGTAACGTGATCGGTGTTACGGAGCACAGCGAGAAGATAGCTCTAGGTTATGATAGCGGGGACCGTGTCGTTCAGTATGGAGATGTTGAATTTAATTCTTACGATGGTCGAGGTTTCGTTGTGATTCGAGGAGAACACAAGTACAGGTTCGTTTGGGTGTGATTTATTTTTATAGGAGTATGATTAACCATTAACATGTTCTATGTTAAAAAGAAATATGAAAAAGAAATTTTAACACTTTTAGTGCCGACTGAAACTGATGTAATTTAGAGAGGTTTGAGAAAAGTATCAGAAAATTTAGTTTCGAATGATAATTAGGAAATTTAAATAGGAATGAGGCAAAGGAAAAAAAAAATGTGAATTATAAACGCTTCCCTTACCGATGCCGTGTGCCATAATCAACAGCAGAGTCAGTCGATCACACGTCGAGCCATTTCGTGCGAACGCGGTGAAGAATAACACGTAACTGAGAGTTGAGACTTGTAAGACAGAGAAACATCGACGAAAATTAACCGCAAATCTGACCTATCTTGTTTACGTTAGACTCTACCTACGGACTATGGCTCTCGTTAGTTATGCCCATGTTTAGCCCGATTTCCTTACTGCGAACCTCACTAATATTATAGGAGAAGCATTTCAAAGTTTATTGAAAATTATATTAACAATATTTGTTCAAACGTATCAGAAGAGCTCTTTAAACGCAGTGTATTATTGTTGGCACTAAAAGAGTTAAATTTAAGAAAAAAAAATTATCTATTGTATATATTATATGTATGATTTATATACAATATATAATATAATAGCTATTTTATTATATATCATATATAACAATTTGTATACATAATGTAATGGTTGTCATTTTACTTATTACACAATGTATTACAATTATTACAATTATTAGATACGAGTTAAGTAGTAACCCTAATAATATAAGCAATAATCTTACTTTTATGTGGTATTGCACAGGTACAATTCACGCGGCCAGTTGATCCACGCATCGGAGCACAAGAAATTCCAAATATGGTACTTCTACGACGATCGTGGTAGATTAGTGGCTTGGAACGACGACCGCGAGAACATCACACAGTTCTTCTACGCGAATCCGAAGACGCCTGATCTAATCTCGCACATTCATTTCCCGAAGTCCTCGAAGACTTTCCGGTTCCTCTACGACTCCCGCAACTTCCTCATGACAGTGGAAACATCTGAACAGAGGTTCTACGTGGCAACCGATCAAAATGGCTCTCCTCTGGCGCTGTTCGATACTAATGGAAATCTGATCAAGGAAACGAGACGTACACCATTTGGAAAAATCATCAAAGACACCAATCCAGACTTCTATCTGCCTATCGACTTCCACGGTGGTCTCCTAGATCCAAATACCAAACTAGTCTACTTGAACAAAAGATTGTACGATCCAACCGTTGGACAATGGATGACTCCAGCCTGGGAGGAAATGGCGAACGAACTCACTACTCCAACAGACATCTTCATCTACCGTTTCCGCAACAACGATCCCGTTAATTTCAAACAGAACGTCGAATACATGACTGACTTAAACAGCTGGTTGAAACTCTATGGCTACGACATTTCCGCGATGCTCGGCTCTGAATACATGAAACGAATGGTATACCAGCCCAGTGCCATGGTCACCTCGCCGCAGCTGACGCCAGACTTCGGAGTCATGTCCGGATTACAGTGCATCGTGAATCGCGTACACGAGAAATTCTCCGATCTGGGATTCGTTCCTAAACCATTACTCAAGTTAGAACCAAAGACGAGGAATCTTCTTCCTCGGGTAGCTCATCGTCGCGCTGTCTTCGGAGAAGGTATCCTAGTATCCCGTGTCGGTGGACGAGCACTGGTCAGCGTGGTAGACGGTGTGAATAGTGTCGTCCAGGACGTGGTAACATCCGTGTTCAACAACTCGTACTTCCTGCCATTACACTTCAGCGTGCACGACCAAGACGTCTTTTATTTCGTGAAGGACAATGCTCTGAAGATTCGCGACGACATGGAGGAACTGCGACGCCTGGGTGGCATGTTCAACGTCTCCACCCATGAAACCACCGAGCATGGCGCTGGTACGTGGAAAGAGCTGAGATTACACAATCCTGACGCTGCTGTGGTGATCAAATACGGGGCTGATCCCGAGCAGGAAAGGCACAGGATATTGAAACATGCTCATAAGAGAGCAGTGGAGAGGGCCTGGGAGATAGAGAAGCAGCTTGTGATGGCTGGCTTCCAGGGCAGAGGTGACTGGTCCAAAGAAGAAAAGGACGAACTGATCAGTCGAGGTACGGTTAGTGGCTACGAAGGTGTGGATATTCACAGTGTGCACAGATATCCGCAGTTAGCCGACGATCCTGGTAACGTAGCGTTCACCAGGGATACAAAGAGGAAACGAAGGAAGAGCG